TCTCTCTCTCTCTCTCTCTCTCTCTCTGCCCCTCCTCCCTCCCTTCCATCTCTCACTAAAAAAAAATCAATGGAAAAATATCCTCGGGTGAGGATTAAAAAAAAAAAAAGACGTGGGTATAGATTTTTGACCTGGAGGCCCTGAAAACAGCCCTGTAGGGAAAAAACAACAACAACAGTGTAAGATCGTAAAATCTGTTCAGTGTTTTAAGAAATTAAGGCTACTGGGTAGGGTGGTTTCAGTAAAAATCTAAAATAGAATCATGACAGCTAAATAAATCTATATAATAAAAGCCTAATATGCAAACTGTCCCCTTGGGTGGTCATTCGACCGGGAGTTTGACCACTCGCTATAACGTGTGTTGACTACCGGGGGTGGTGCAGAACATGGCGGGCGTCGGCGACACGCTGCAACCTCACCAGCTATCTGGGGGCGGGGGTGATGGGGACGGAGGTGCAGTGAGAACGCGGGGTGTCTGCCGAGCTTGCTCTCACTCCCCCTGCTACCCTCCCCCAGGACACCAGGGCTTGCATGCTGGGGAAGACCCCATGCTCAGGTGCCCGGGCGCCTGCAAGGAGCCCGCCCCACACCCACGCGGCCTCTTCTGGGTGAGTTGAGCTGCAGCCACCAGGATCGCAGGGGCCAGTAGGGCTTCCCGTGGGTTTACGCAGGAGCCGGTCTGTGAGGCTGGCCGGGAGAGAATGCACTGCCCGCCTGGCTTCTGTGCAGCGCCACTGCCCATGCACAAATTTCGTGCACCAAGCCTCTAGTTAATATAATAAAAAGAAGGGTAGAATATAAAGAGCAGAACGTTCCCCTTGGCAGACAAAGTAGAAAAGACTTTAGGTAAAGAAAAGGATAAATATTAACTTACACAACTAGCATCTTATTATACACTCTATGGGACAAAAATGCCCTATTTAATTTTATTTTCAAAACAGGTAAATGAACACCTGCTTTAAAAAATTACTATAAAATCCACACATTCCTGATCTGGTTAAGTAATTAATTTATTCTTTGCATTATTAAACCTTATTTACTAAGCATAATTTTACAAAAGATAATCATATTTGCTGAATCACTAAGGATTGCTTATTTGCTTTTGCCTTGTAAGCAGCATATTAAATTCTTGCTAACAGTTGATCAACCATTTACATGGGCATGGTTATAAATCCCTTTACCCTGAAATTAGTTCTGAGATATTTTTTCTTTCAGACTACAGTCTATCTGAAAATACAATGCTTGGGCTCTGTGTAGAAATGGGAAACCTTGAGATTATATATAAGATTAAAAGCAAAAAATATGGCAGTAAGATTTAAAAACTGAAATCTTCCCTCCTGAGCGCTCCCTCCTTCCCTTCCCTGCTTTCTTTTTTCATCATAAGTCTTATCACTGCCTGGCAGGTTATTTATTTTACATATTAAGTTTTTTTGTTTCTTTTCTCCTACTTGAAAGCAGGGATTTGGGTTGTTTTGCTTATTGCTAGGCGTTCAGTGTACAAGACAGTGCCTTACATTTAGGAGGGGCTCCATAAATATTTGCCAAATGAATGAATGAACAATCTAATGCTATCAAAAGGAAATAAAACTATTAAAATTAAAAGTCTCCCTGTATCAAAGTGATTCAAACAGGATATTTTATAAATAAGAACAGTGAATAAATTGATGACTCATCTGTTCTGGATGGAAAATTCTCATCCATTTCTGAAAAATAGAACATTATATCTAATACCCTGACCTGGAAAGTTTGAACTCCCAACAGTCAGCATCTCTGAGAACATGAATTTCAAGTTCAGTGTTTATGAAAGTAGGGGCAGCTCTAATGGAGGGTAAAACCCTGCCAATTAACTGAACACATTGCAGCTTCTTTTCCTTTAAGAGTCTAATATTTATCATTATAAATCTCTACCCCTTACAAATCTGTCACAAAATTTGGAAATGTTCAACACTGCTTTATTAAAAGCATCCTGGGAAATAAAGAGTTAAGTACCAAACATTCTGCAACATATATAGTGCAGCAGATCATCTGAAAGTTAGAAACATCATATTGTTATCATCACAATTAGCTGGTAGATTAATATTAATAATAGAAAAAGAGCAAAAGGGAGGCAAGGCATTATAAGCACGGTCAGCTGGGCAGCTTCACCAGGAAGCTACACTTCACGCCTGGTCCATTCCCTGCAAACCACCGGGGGGAGGGGTCCAACAAAGGGGAGAATGGGCACATGCACAGTGAAGTCAGTGTGACGTAGGGAAAGTGCTACCCTGCCCATCCCAATGCAAGCCCACAAAACCTTGGGAATACAGAATCCCTAGACCAGTGATGGCGAACCTTTTGAGCTCGGCGTGTCAGCATTTTGAAAAACCCTAACTTAACTCTGGTGCCGTGTCACATATAGAAATGTTTTGATATTTGCAACCATAGTAAAACAAAGACTTATATTTTTGATATTTATTTTATATATTTAAATGCCATTTAACAAAGAAAAATCAACCAAAAAAATGAGTTCGCGTGTCACCTCTGACACGTGTGTCATAGGTTCGCCATCACTGCCCTAGACAAAGAGGTCTCTCTCTGTTGTTCGGCTCTTGCTCTGCTCCTGCTCCCTTGCATTCTCTTGCTCCGTGACTCGCCTGCCATGTGGTCTTTAGTTGCATGGCCCCTGGCTATGTGGACCCCACATGCAATAGGCTGCAGCTGGGAACACAAGTCAAGCTAGCCAGATGCTGGACTGGACTTTAACATGGAGCAGAAACTCTGGGCAGTGGCCTTCATTCTTGATCTAAAGACAAGGCTGGACTTTTTCCATGGCAAGATGGAGGGAGAAGGGACCTTCGAAGGGAACCTCCTTAATTTTACATCTGTAAAGCTTTTCACAATACCTCATCCTCCTGTGCAAGTCTCAGGAAATACCTTTCCTTGCAACACTGCAAGAATCCCACTTCCACCGGACACAAAGGGCACCCCACTGATAATACTCTTAGGCCATCTCTTAAGAACCTGCATATTACTTATTTCAAGTGGGCCACTTAGGCCAAAAGGCCTAATTCCACCTCTTTCTTATGGCCCTCACTGATTCTACACTTGCCTTCTGAAAACTTAGGTGGCTCAATGCCACGTCCATGTTGTGTTTACTTCCGTCTTCTAGCCCATTTCTTTGCCACAGCCTGGCTTCTTTCCCCTCTCTTTCTCTGACTCTCTTTAATTAGATAACAGGTGTAAAATGGTATTTTCAGATGAGAAGAGAGGAAAGTGATTCCAATTTGTCCAAAGTTCCTAAGCTGGTTAGTGGTAAAGAATGAAGTAAGTTCCAGAACTGCTGATTTCCCAAAGTTCTTTCGAACTTACTGTATTCCCCATTAATAACCTTCTTTGCATCTTTTCTTGTAAAACCCTTCTTTATCATGCACTTGCTAAAACACTTGTATTCACCTAAAACCAAGGACTCCCCTAAACCCAAATAACTGAGCCCATTTCTAACCATATTCAGATACTTTCTGAAAGGAATCATCTTTCATAAAGAATGACAGGATTTATCTTTCTTTTTGCTTGTTTTGCAATTTTTGCACTCAACACTTAAAAATATAAAGATGATGTTATGGGTGGAATTGTGTCCCCCAAACAGATATGTTGAAGGTTTAACTCCAATACCTGTGAATGTGAACTTACTTAAAAATAAGGTCTTTGCCAATGTAATCAAGTTAAGGTCATTAGAGCAAGCCCTAAACCAACAAGACCAGTGTGCTTATACAAAGAGGAACGTTTGGACACTTACACAGAGAGATGACAGTCATGTAAGCAGGAAGACAGAGACTGGAGTTTTGCTACTAGAAGCCAAGAAGTGGGGCTACCAGAATTTGGAAGAGGCAAGGAAGGATCCTCCCCTAAAAGTCTTGCCAATATCTTGATTTTGGATTTCCCCTTCCAGAACTGTAAAAGAATCAATTTCTGTTGTTGATTTAAAAAAAAAATTTTTTTTTATTGATTTCAGAGAGGAAGGGAGAGGGAGAAAGAGATAGAAACATCAATAATGAGAGAGAATCATTGGCTGGCTGCCTCCTGCACGTCCTCTACTGGAGATCGAGCCTGAAACCCAGGCATGTGCCCTAACCAGGCATCGAACTGTGATCTCCTGGTTCAGAGATCGATGCTCAACCACTGAGCCATGCCGGCTGGGCAAGTTTCTGTTGTTTTAAGTCACCAAGTTTGTAGTATTTTGTGACAGCAATCCTAGGAAACTAATACAGATAGTAAAATGACACAGATAATGAAAGTACAACTTTTATAATTCCATTAGACAGATTGGCATTATCGTTAAACATAGTCAGTTAAAGAAAAGCTATTCCCAAGTGCACATTACCTAAAAAAGAAAAATCTCTAGTCTTTGGATTCTTTTACATGAGCAAATTAAAAGTCAAACCCTATCTCAAATGAATTAATTTGGTCTTTGAAAAGGGTAATCAGATTGGTAAAATGTTTAATGGCTAAGCGTTACTCCATTAGAGTTGCAGAGCACACACCCTTCATTCATTCCTCAACCAACTACTCAAGTAAAGAATGTGCTTACTTGTTATTAGTTGGCCCTGTTGCCAAGACATCGGACTGTAACTTTGGAAAGAACCCTTGCTCATATTTGCCTTGACCAATTTTCATATCAAGTAGATGTGGATGGATTGCAGTGTGATCCATTTTCATCAGCCGCTGCTCAACTGACTGGGCTACAAATGGAATTTATAACAAATTAGAGACATTGGCTAAGCCTTAAAAAATAATTCTTCCTCCATTCATGCACCTACAAGGAACTCATTCTTTCTGACATTCTAAAACAGATTTTTACTAAAGCTTTTCAATATCAGTATAAGTACAAAAAGGATAATCTTAAGTAAATGCTGGATAATTAATTTTCACAATATTTCTACCTTTGTCAAAAGTAGGGCAGTGGGGATGAAACATCATTAAAAGTTTCCCGTAAGTGGGAAATTCAACATTCTTAATGGATGGCAAATATTTCCCTTGAGCTGAAAGACAGGTAAAGAGAAGGGAACAGCAAGCACAGAAGCCTTATATTAACTGTATTTCTTTGTACAAAGACCCATTAAATAGTCTTGGTTCTTTCTGTAAAAGCAAGGAATTTGTAAAACAAGGAGTGATGTGAAGTTTATTATTTTTAGTAACAGTCACATTCTCATTAGTAGGAGTCTTTTAGGCGTGTTTATTAGATCAAGAGGGGTAATGCAGAGACAAATAAAACAAGCAGGCATTTAGGAAATGTCCAGAGGATAAAAAACTGACCTTTTAAAGAATGGGACAGAGTGAAAAGACAGGAATTACTCAATATTCCTATTTTAAAACCACTGAAAGTTAGAGACCCAAGAAAAAATGAATTATGTCTTTGGTTAAAAAAAAAAAAAATCTGGCCCTGGCCGGTTTGGCTCAGAGGATTGAACGTCGGCCTGCGGACCTAAGGGTCCCGAGTTCGATTCGGATCAAGGGCACATGCCCGGGTTGGGGGCTCGATCCCCAGTGGGGAGCGTGCAGGAGGCAGTCAATCAATGATTCTCTCTCATTGATGTTTCTATCTTTCCCTCTCCCTTCTTCTCTGAAATCAATAGAAAGATATTTTTAAAAAATCACATTGTCTTTAAAAAAATATCTGGTCTTAAATGTTTTCATTAACTGAATTTTCAAGAGGAAATGTAGAGAATCAAGGCTATGTCTCCAATCCTCTGCCTAGAAATTACTAAAACAGGAGAACGAGCGGGGACTGTGGTTGTGTGATAAATAATAGAACACACTGCGGAACTGCTAACATTGGGATTATTTTGCCTCTTTCAATACCACAGATTTAGTACTGCCAGTTATTGCCCAAACATAGTCTAAAAAAATTCTTTTTTGGGTGGGAAGGGGTCTGCCCATGACACGCTACTCTTGTGAGAAGAACATGCTTAACACCATCTTATGTGAGATCAGTGCTTCACCCAGACCAGATGTTTGTGTCTGACGATAATAGTGTTCAGGGAAGCTCTGAGGAAGCTACTATTGCCCTCTATGACATAAACTTCAAAATGTTAAGCTTCCCTAATTTTTCTCCATAGAAATTTATCCGAAATTTTTTTGAACTTCATTTGATTTTTAATGTATAACTTGTAACTTATCTTGAAACATAGCCCCTATGTTCTATGCTGGGCAAAAAGGATGCCAGGTTTTGTTAAAAAATATTTTTTTTATTATTGATTTCAGAGATGAAGGGAGAGGGAGAGAGAGAGAGATAGAAACATCAATGATGAGAATCATTGATCGGCTGCCTCCTGCATGCTCACTACATGTGCCCATGACTGGAATCGAACCTGGGACTCTTCAGTCTGCAGGCCGAGGCTCTATCCACTGAGCCAAACCAGCGGATGCCATGTTTTAATGTGAAATGATATTTAATTTTCAACAATGACCCCTGGCACTCCACAGCCCTATTTATGCTCCCAATGCTTCCTAATATTTATAAAGCACAATTAACATGGTTTAGGCAAAATAATGCTTAGATTCATGGCATGAAGTTCCTGCCAATTTTATGTTCCATAAAATACTACAAAATTCCATCTCTGCCAACTAGTGCCTCTGTCCTCTTGAAAGGAAAATGAGCTTCAGTTTTTTCCGTTGGATTTAAATGACAGAGAAATCCATCTGATAATGAATTATTCTCCTTTAGCTAGGAATCTTTTTGAAACATAAAAATCATAATTCACAATGAACTATTCTCAGGTTTACATGTAAGGATGCCATAGGGAACATAATGCAAAGTTACTTTTCAGTGATTATGCCACCAGTGAATACTGAACATGCAGAGATGATTAAATGCCTGCTTTAAGAGATCAGGGCTGTTATAATTTCAAGGGTTTGTGCCAATATCCAGTTTCTGTGATTGGTAAGGGAAAAGAAAACTGCATTACGATCAACTTGTTGCCTTTCTGCACAGAAATCATGAGGTTCTGGTGCCACAATGTCAACAGCGGAAAACCTCTGCCTAAATAATTCACCTGCAAATCAAAATCCTTTTTAGTTAAGAGGCAAAAGAGAAACAACAAAAGACAAAAACAATACACAATAAAAAATCCAATGTTGATAACAAAATCCCAACCTTCACAGCTTATGCTGGAGGAGAGGGGAAGACAATTTCATCTGTAAAAGAAACAACCATGCCCTCTTTGAGAAATGGACAGTCACAGCCAGCTGCCTCCTTTTACTTTTTAAAAAAGTCTTTGATAAATTAAATTCCTGGGAGACTACTGACTGTTTTAGCTGAATCTCATTTTCATATGTATTAAATCTATAATGGTACATTTTCAAGAGTATTATGTAATTTCTGTCATGATAGTGGGAGTATCAAATTCTCTGAGAGCCTGAAAGAAAATCTATGTTAATTGAAAAGATTTCTGGAAGTACACAAAGGAATCAATGCTGAGCTCCATTAAAAAAATTCTGTCAGAAAGGGAAGAGTGAAGTTGGCTCAAAAAGGCATTATACTCTTCGGATGGCCTTTAAAGCACTGGAAGTCAGACTAGACTCCGAACAGGCGGAGACAATTCATTCATTCTGCCCCTCAATTTCCAAAGACACAGCAGTACTGCTGCTCCTGAAAGGCTCCAAGGATCTACCCTCAAGGACAATGTTGCAGCCAGTTCTAGAGAGACTTCTACGGTTACATGAGACATTATTTACATACTTCTCTCCTTAAATATGCAACTACAGCCTCACAACTCCTTGACTCTGATCTACTTACATAAAGTGACAAAGGCAAGTAACAGAAGCAGAGCAAAGACACTGCACATTTGCTACCTCCTTTTCCTCCAGACGAAAAACTGCTTTCAAATAGCTCCTACATTTGCAGAAATATTAAATCAAAGGAGGGGGCACTCAGGTGATAAATATGTTTACTTGGCAAACATATTTACAGAGTTAGGAACCAGGGATGAATGCATAAAATTGGGTGGATCGGTACATTTTACGTGTTTCTTTATTAAATGTGTAGCTAACATCATAGTGAGGCTTCAGGGGCTAGAATCACTCACACCTGGGTTCAAATCACGACTCCACCCATCACAAACTACACAAGCACAAGCAAGTGGCTTGACTGCTCAGTTTTCTCAACTGTATAATAAGGGTAGTTACAAAACAAAAGTAAATGTGCCTACACCCCCCTTCATCATTAAGATCATATGCAAAAGGGCATGTAAAACACACTATAAAATGTTCAGCACACAGTAAGTAGTCAGTAAACACTGACTATTAATATGACTGTTTATTTCGTAGACTACTACATTCCACTGGCCCAAAACTCATAATTCTTGGAGGGGGAAACTGGTGTCAGGGTTAGGAAACTGCTAATTTGAATATAAGAATCCAGAGATGTAATTTCTATAAAAAAAAAAAAAGCTATTGTAATTAATGGCACCACTATAAACAAAATATACAGTCATAGTTATGTAAATCAGGCATCATCTCAGATTTACTATTTTAAATGAGTACTTATCTTTTCCTGGATAAAGAGAAAAGAGGCCAGAAGTAAAAAAAAGCAACATAAACAGCAAGACAGAAATTAACATTTTTTTCCATTAAGGCGATAAAGAAAACACGATAAGAATCATAGCAACCTTGTAATCATACGCCATTCGATTTATTGTTTTTCCTCTTCTAAGAGAACTGGAATGTCAAGTAGGAATGGGATGGACATAAACTCACAGAAACAGAAAGGAACAAAACTAAAGAAAGTACCTCTTACAAGGACGAGCCATAAAGTCTAAAACTGACAATATTTTGGCTTATAAGGCCAACAACGTATACAAAATAATCGTGGATTTTAAGTTAATTTTAAAAGGCATGGCAAACGTACCTGCTTCTTTTAAAGTGCTGCATTTCTGATATATGGATGTCCTCAAGGTGGGTGCCCTTACATTATACAGTCCTATCTTCTCAATCCGAGAGTCGAAGACCCGAAGCAAAGGATCTTTCTCCTCCCACTGAGACATAATTTTGTTATCAATAAAGGTGGCAAACATCTGTGTTTCAATGAAGCGTGAAAGAAATGGCAGGTGTGGCTCAGGCTGGTCACACAGAAAGGAAGCCTGTAATGAGATAATTAAAAAATTATTAGGGCAAAGAAACCCACCTCAATACGACATGATAAACCCCAAAATTATCTGTTGCTAAGGTCCTTTTTAAAAAAAATCTTTATTGTTGATAGTATTATAGATGTCCCCCTTTTTCCACCATTGCCCCCCTCTACCTGGTTGCTGCCCCGCCCCAGGCCTTCACCACCCTATTGTCTGTGTCCATAGGTAATACATAGATGCAAATGTTCTTTGGTTAATCTCTTCCCGCCCCTTCTTCTTCCCTCAGATTCATAAGTCTGTTCCATGTTTCCATGCCTGTGGTTCTGTTTTACTCATCAGTTTATTTTGTCCATTAGGTTCCTTATTTGTTTATTTTGATTTCTTTTTAAATCGCGTAACACACAAAACTGACAAAATTCAAAAATCCTTAAAAATTCATTTTGCCTTCCTTTCTTTCTAATTTCATGGAATTTCAGCCACTTAGGTCTTTATCTCTGATCCTACCTTTCAAACCTGATTTACATTCTGATCCTCATGACCATCATGTAGAAAATAAGAGCATCATTAGTGAAAGATGATAGCTCAGTTGCTACAGGATCATCCATCATCCTCTTCACTGACCATCAAATTTGACCCCTTCCCCCAGTGAGCTATAATTTCTTCTGCTCTCTATTTCTAGCCTACGCAATATACCTCCAAGTCATAAGGCAGTGAGGTGATTAACTGATACCATAATGATATATACACAATAACCTTAACTAAAAACAACACGGAGTTTGTCTTTATGGGTGAAATCTTTTTGTTCTTCTTCAAGTGGATGTTTTTCTAGGCCCCAACTCTGTCAGAGACTGATGGGTGAGTATTAATCAAGATCAGACTCCTCCTGGACCTGTGCAGACAGAATAGTCTGGGCCTTAACAACTAAAAAAAGCATTCTCTAAAAAACCATCCGAAGCAAACCAAGCCTTCGGGAAACGTGCACAACACGCTCCTGTTACCGGGTTGTCTGCTGCACAGAATGGCCAGTACATTGTAATCAGCTTTTAATTCACAGTGTTCATTATTTTTTCCTGTGGTTCTTCAGGTCTGTGTGTGTCTAGAAATCCTAGCTGCAGTTTGGTACCAGCTGAAATTTGAGGATGAATGACTACTTCAGCTGCTGGGTTGGTTTGACTTATCGTTCTTCAGAGCAGATTCGAACAGATTCGAGGATGGGAGGGTAAGTTCCGATGTAAGATTACTCTCCTGAATACTCATTGGCTTCTTCCTAGCACGTTTCTCATTCTGAAACGTAGGGAGCCTTTAAAAAACTTCCTTACAGAAACCCACTTACTTAATTTAAGTGCTTCCATAGTTCAGTTATATTTACACATCCAAATAGCCAGAAAAGGGTTCACAGTAGTCTCTAGAAATCAGTTCATCTCCTTAAAACAGTGGTTCTCAACCTTCTGGCCCTTTAAATACAGTTCCTCATGTTGTGACCCAACCATAAAATTATTTTCGTTGCTACTTCATAACTGTAATGTTGCTACTGTTATGAATCATAATGTAAATATCTGATATGCAGGATGGTCTTAGGCGACCCCTGTGAAAGGGTCGTTCGACCGCCAAAGGGGTCGCGAACCACAGGTTGAGAACCACTACCTTAAAAGGTATTTCACAGATAAACAGCAAGTCTACTTTTTATAGAGCAAAAAGCCCATCCCCCCCCAAACAGGCCAAATGTCTGGCTTTGATATTCAGACCCTCAAGGACCACAACATTTAAGGTCCACAAAGACTTGTCTTGCACCACTAGTATTTGACAGTCCTGTAAATTCTCCTAGTGAAAAATTAGATGATTACAAGCCTTCTGGAATCCAACATGAAACTTTCATTTCTCTAGGGGTTATATAAAAAGAATTCCATTTATAGTTTCAAGCTACATAAAGATTAAGGAGGAAGAAAGTACCAGTGCTCGATTTAGATAAGAATTTGAATTACCCCAAGCATCATGAGTGTACACAGTAGTTCCAAGCTGAATAGGAAAAAAATGTGGAAAAATGGTTAAGCTTAATGAGAAAGGAACCTAAGAGCACAGATACATTTGGAGAAGTGAAGGCTTCTTAAATTATTTAAGAAGTTTTCTCAAACATAAAGGGCACCAGAACTTAGCTGTTCATCATAGTTTATATCCTCCACCTGAAAAAAAAAAATCTGATGAAATCAGAAAATAATCTTTTATACTACCCACTCTTACAGAATTTTAAAATTAACATTTATCTGTCAGATGCTCCAAGATTGTAGATTAGGCTCTTAGAATGGGTTAGCCCCTTTAAGGGGTCTTTCACAACAAAAGGATACCATTTAGCGAAAAGCCATAATTCATTCTAATAGCAATATCATGCCCCAGCTACCACAGAGGCAGGAGACAGAACTACACCCTGGTGACCTGAAAGAGTTAATGCCCCTCCCTTAAGTGCTTTTGTCCTGGGGGGGGGGAGGGGGGGGGAGTGCCTGATGGATATGTCAAAAAAACCTGGCAGAATACTCTGGAGTAAACCTTAGCAAGCTTCAACACCAGCAGGACAATCAAAAGCTGGTGGTACTTTCTGTCTTCCTTTCCCCAAAACTGAAACAGAACCTTAGGTTTATAGTCATAAAACCTAATTCATTTCTCTTTCTCTCTTTTGATCCTCGAATGAGATAAAAATTAGGCCTCTGAAACTAAACTGTTTGTTACCTTTAACATGGACAAATCGTAACTTCATTATATTGGAGACAAAATATAAAAACAGGATTTATTAGAAAAGGAATAGGCCTTATTTAACTACACCTGATCCTAACTAAAATAAGAGTCAATGAAACTCTTACAAGATCAGATAGTGTTAACAGATTTCAAAAACCTGTGAAATTTGAGTTTCTATAATTCAGAAATTTTCAAGCACAGAACCTTTAAAAATGAAATGAAAGGCAATTTAATACAAAATTCAATAGCCCGCTTAATGAGCTACTTGATTTGCTTTCCTGTGAAATTGTTTTATCTAGTGTAAAATACTGGTAAAGAAAAGTTCTTAAGGAAAGGGAGAGAGGAAAATAAAAAAATCTGTGTTTAAAATAAGTTAGCAAAATCAAGTAAGATAGCCCACTAAGAACCATAAAAGGAAACTATGGCTCTTTTTACTTTGTCAAAGTTCTGCATCTGTTCCCGGTTGGTGAGCCAGGATTCCATGTCCTGGGCGCTCTGAATCACAAACGATTCGTAGTCGGCAAACATCTGGGTAAAGCGGTTAGCAAACACCTCTCGGAGCTGTACGTTGAGCTGGTAGTCCCTTAGCTCTGCCTCTTCACACTGCAGCTTCGAATCCTTTTCTTTTTCACCCAGAGAGGCAGAGAGGTCCATTTTGTCCACGGTCACACCGGTCCGCTTGGCCAGAGCCTGGAGCCGGGCTATGGTTTCGTTGCCCTTCAGTAACTCATACATGTTGATGCTATTCGTGGAGATGTTGCCATTCTTTTTGTCATTGACCAAGTCTTTCAGAACCAGATTCTTCAATTTGGTGGCACTCTCACTGCAGTGCAGGCTGCCCTCAGGAGGGATCCCAAACTGAAGAAGAACTTCAGAGAGTTCCTGGATAAAATCCACTTTATTGGGGAACTGTGGAAATTCTTCAGGCAACTCAATAAAATGGTTGTCAATATCCACAAAACACAAGTTAGCCTAAAAGAAGGGGGGAAAATGGTTTTAGAATAAAGGAATTTTAAGTTCTAAAATAGCCTTGCCAATTATTAGAAACAAAATCACAAATTACACAGCCTTTTATGTTAACCTTCTCAAGGTTAAGAACTTTTTATTTTTTAAAAGTAAATCTGGCCAAAACCGGTTTGGCTCAGTGGATAGAGCGTCAGCCTGCGGACTGAAAGGTCCCAGGTTCGATTCCGGTCAAGGGCATGTACCTCGGTTGCGGGCACATCCCCAGTAGGAGGTGTGCAGGAGGCAGCT